CTGATGTTGGAGAGTAGAAGTTGATGATAGTAATGGCTTTCTGATGCAGAGGGCGGAGACGAAGGATAGCCAGGTGAGGTGATAGGATCTCATGCGATCGACAAGATGGACAACAGATAGGTGTACGACAAATCCAATGCCTCCAACGTTCCGTGATGAAACCTTTTCACCACGAATGATAAGAGTGCCATTACTTAGCTGCCTCACGTCCGTCATCCTAGACTTTGTTTCCTGCAAGGCGATTACGTGATAATTGATGCGCCTTGTAACTTCGATAAGGGCAAGATCGGCGTTGATGGAGACTGTCCTGGCGTTGTAGGTGCAGAGCATGAGACAATCGCCATGGTGAATTGTTGTCGTGTCCTTGTGTTCCGAAATCCATGGCGTGTGCAACCTGACAATGGTCTTGATGACATCCGACGCTGTAAATCTGATCCAGTGTATAGGGCATTTCCTTTTACATGCTGAAGCAATAGAATTTTCCCTAAACCTCGCAGCCTTGCCAGGGCCGCCAAGCTTTCACCACAGGCAATCGCTGCCCGATTTGGATCAAGGCCAACTAGGAACTGGATCAGCCACTCCTCCTCAGCTAGGGGGACCTTGCTAGAAAATGAACTCCCGCTGTACTTCGTAGTGCGACACCCAGAGTCACCCCGTCGCTACGATGAGGCGGTAGACCATCACGAGAAAAACTGCAGACAAAAAGAACTGAAACAAAAATTAGACATTTTCAAATGCAAATAACAGTGATCAGGTGGTAAAAGTACTGATTGCAAATATAGAAATGCTCTGTATTCAGCAAAAATCTCCATTCCCTCCATTAATTTGCTGCCAAATAATATTGTTAGGGTGACCCAAAAAAAACTGGTTGCTTTTGCTTGAAAAAGTATATCATATATTCGAATTTATAATTAATTATATCAGTAATATGAGTTATGTCAACACAAAACGGTTTAGGAAGTTATATTAAGTAGCAAAAATTTTGCACTGATGACTGGTGTTCTTCTTATGTTGCTGGTGTCATGTGTTAAAAAGTCATAAAAGTGCTTCATATAATCCATAGATAGTAATCTGACTTTTCTCTTATATTAGGAATATGTAGAAACAGGCAAGAAGAATTAGTAGACATAGTTGCGTACCTATCAATTTGCCTGCAGATATCTAGACGACTTAAGCCATGTTTTCACTAGTGCTTCAGCTTTGAAAGCAAAACTTGATATATTAATCAACTCAAGTGACAGGAACACAACTACGGCAACAAAACCAAATAGATCTAATAAACAAGGTATCAAATGGTCAAATACAGGTTCCCGTAGCTTTCTGTTGATGGTCTTATTACTATCACTACAACGGTTTGTATAAATGCAGTATGCCTGTGCTACAATTTCAAAGACAGGAGATGATTGACTTAGAGACCTGTTGGATAACGGAGAATTCTATCAACAAGTAATCCATTTCATGTTTCATATTGAAGTTCAGTCGATGGACTCGATGGAGTTGATGGACTCACCTTCTATTAATGCAGGACTTTTGGTTCAGTATGCGATTAGCAATAAGAGGACAAATTTGGGCAAGGACTATAACCCTGATATCGCTGCACCTCTGGTTTGGTTTTAATTTCGTTCTTTTTCTCATTGTCGTCAGATATGTAGCAATAGTATAATTATTTTGATTCAAAATCGAGCTTTTTTTGAATATCTCATGAATAATTACATGACGATAGCCATAAAAACGACACTATTAATTAGTTCTAAGCAGCCGGAATAACCTTTAAAAAATACTTTCGTTTTTTTTCGATTTTTAATCCTTCGCCCTGGTCACAAATAAGAGTACGTGTGACCTTGTAACCTGTTCCTTCTTTTCATGTTAGCTGAGAGCTGCAGACAAAGTTGCGGCCACTCGTTGCGATACTCTTCGGCGGGTGAGTTCCAAGCCGATATCATAAGGGCGATTTTAAAACTCGAATGGTCCTAAGCGTCATAGGCTCGAGCTCATCCTCGTCCTAGCTTGATGTCGAACCGTAAGCACTGAAGGTGACGAGGTCAGAGTTTAGCTTGATAGTTGCTCAAAAAACCACGTTCAAGGAAAACTAGTGCTAGTAGAGATATCTGTCCCTAACTTTTACTATTGAAAACATCTTGCAGTATCGAAAGTAGTTTTAACGAAAGGTGCCCCCCCCCCCCCCCCCCCCCCCCCCCCCCCCCCCCCC